CTTTGTTTTGCACAACATGTTCATTCACTTCAATGATGGCCTTTTCTCTCAGCCGTCGCGTCGCCGCGATCGTAACCTGTATGTTCAACCCAATGACGAACAAGACACAGAAACAAATCCATTTATTCGTCGCACTGCTCAAGCCAAACGAAATAGAATAGCCAAAAAGTAAAGCAATATCAATGTGAGTTTGGCAATTGTAAAATTTAACAATGAGATTTTGACACTTGTATGCTACTTCGACAATGACACATAGACATTGCGACTTCAACAATGAGACTTTGACAATTAGAATTCGAAAATTGTAAACTGTATTTACTTATCCTTTTGAGCCACCAAATGGTTTAAGAGCTCGCCATCGTGTCCGACTGTCCCTGAATCGCACGCAAGACATCGTCCAACGTTGCCCCCGATGGTGGAGCAGGCGCTGGAGCCTGCGTCGCTACCATGGATGTTCCCAAGTGGATCAATCCATCTTTGATGGCCATAAGGCCAGCTTCTAAAGCCTCGCTGTGGGTTTTCAGTTTTACTGCCTTTAATTTTTTTGGAGGTCATGCGAACGACTTGTCGGTTTCAGAATCCGACTTCAACTCTTGTTCTTGCTTGATTTCGTTTTCTATGAATATATTTCCATTGCAGTAAAACAAAAATACATCTGATATACCATCAAGAGTTTTACTGGGCTCGACCAATGCTTCGTCCGTTGACATCAATGACTCTCGCTGGAAGCCTTTTTTGTTGCTCCAAAATTCCATCATAGCGTCGCAGTGCAGTGGCAATGCACTAGCTGGACCATTGCCAGTCTCGCTGGGACTCCAAGGTTTCGTCAACGACCATGCGGCCTTCATTTTCAAGAACTATAAAGCGAAAATATACAATATTTTATTGGAGTTTATACAGATATAACAACTTAACTTGTCTTGTACTTGAGTAACGGAAAACTCTTTCTCCGTCGACATGCTCAACTCCACCGCCAGCGTACCATACGCCGTCTTCTTCTCGGCGTTGTTTTTCGAGTCGAAACGCTTGGCCAACTGCGACTAGTACCGAAGTCGGAACAATTCATTGACACTCGTCGTCCCAAAGCGAGCCTCGCTTTGGGGTGTCGACCGACGTGCGCTTTGCGCGTCTGGCCTTCTTGGCCTTTGGCGTTAGTTGCGCTATATACTGAGTGTCAGCATACATTGAAAGTAGACATTGTAGTGAATACCATGGGTTTCTACATCATGCGTGTGAGCGTCGTCGTCATCATCACTCATGGGTCAGTCTGCAAATGGACTGTAAAGCAGGAATGGCTGGTACAGGGCAGGAACGCCACATCCCTGCCTCAAACCAAATTGTCAGGCAGAAACGTTATGTGGATTTCGGATAAATTGACCAATCAAATTGATTTTATCGCAGCCTGAATTTCATAAAGCTGGAATGGATTATTCAGCGGCCAGGCTCTTAGGACAATGCAAACGTCGGGCAACATCCGGATAAGAGGATTTTCCACAGTCGACGTTGCAACATTGACGTTTTTCTGAAAACTGTGGGGATGTATACTGGACAGAGTTGAAGGCCAATTTTACCAGTCAGGGCAGAATTATTTGGTAAATTATTTAAATATTTCTATATTTGTAGACAATATTTATAATATTCCTATTCTATACTACATTTTTAATTAAACCTCCGTTAACTAAAATATTTACAACTTCAATATTTCTTTCGATTTATATTGAATTGTTTTATTTCTTTTTGCTAAATAGCCATTCAGATTTTTGAAAAGAAATTGAAAGAGAATCTGTAATACAGTGCGCGCCAGGTGGATAAAGCCACCCTATTATTCAAGAGAAAAATCCCGCCAATCACGCGTTCTGCTCCACAAAATGCACCAGTGTAACGAGCATGATTGGTGGAGTTATCACATAGAACTTTCGGTCAATTGGTTGAGTTGAGCGTTGTAGACTGCAACAATAACGATTTTTGACCGCGTTAGGGAAATAAAGCCACTTGCAATTCAGACCCCAAGCAGCAACTACACCCCACGCACAGCTAACAGACTTTTGTCACGTGATTGGTAAGCACTTTTACACACAAATACACTACGATAACGAACAATATCAATGCCATAGGATGGGTAGAGATGCTCAACTTTCTCCTCCTGAAAAAGGCGCCATTTTGGCCTTCTGCAAGGCCGGATACTCCAACCGGGCCATTGCACGCGAGTTTGGAAGGTCCAAGGACGTCGTGAGATGTTGTTTACGCGACCCAGAGACCTACGGCACAAGAT